CTCCAAGATGCCATCTCCTGCTCCATGGCAGCTATCCACTGCGTGGCCCAAGGTCCCGAGGTCGCCTCAGCGTAAGTGCGAGGGGTCGGGATGTCGAAAGCGTCTGGGTCACCCTCAGGGATTAGCAGCATGGAACAGAGATGGGGAGCAGCCTCGGACAGGAAAGCAAGTTCGAACTGGCGGTCCTCCAGGACGTCACTGCCGAGGGCAGGAGCACCCCCGACAGACGGAAGACAGGCAGAGTCAGAGACCAGAGCAGTGGCGTAGTCAAGGCGGCGGGTAGAGGCGAAGTCAGCGACCGCAGCTACAAGAGCGTCAAGGCACGAGACCGGAACAGACGGGTCGGTAACGAGAGAGGCAAGGACCCGAGGAACAAGAGGACGAGCGGCACGAACGTTGTCAGACAGCGGGAGGGGTGCAACAACAAGGGAGGACGGAGGAGGCGACGGCAGAAGGGGAGGACGAGACGTGTGGGAACGAAGCAATATAGGGTGGGAGCGCAAGACAGGGGAGGCAGGACGAGCACGGGAGGGACGGTGAGACCAGACGTGAGACGGAGGAGTCGGGTCAGGAGCCAGGGGAGGGGACACAGGGGGGGAACGAGGGGGAAGACGAGCAGGGGACGAGTCCGGCGGAGGGAACACAGGGCAGTAGACGGGAAGAGGAGGAGACGGCCGGAGAGGAACAGATGCAGGGTCAGGGGACGGAAGGCCGAGCAGGCGAAGGGCTGACACCGGCGGGGACTGCTGCTGCGGCGGCACAACGCCGACACCGGGACCGCAAGCTGCTCCTCGGCTACCACCGGCACACTCCACGGCAGCACCCCCAGAGGGAACACCTCCAGGGCTCGAAACCCCTCGAGGACCAATACCACCCCCAGGGCTACCGGGACTAGCACGCACTCCAATGCTAGCACCCCCAGAGTCAACGAACGGGTGCTGCGACGGCGGCGGCGGCGGCAGTGACAACGACGGCTGCGGCGGCGGCGGCGGAGGTGACAACGGCTGCGACAGCAGGGGCGACAGCAGCGGCACAGGCGGTGGAGGAGGGGATGCCTGGGGAGGGGCAGCCGGCGAGGATTGCGCCGCAGGACCACCAGAGTCAGAAGACTCCTCAACCGGGACCACCGACGGAAGAGGGGTGACGTGGGACACACCAGAGGGGGCAGGACGGGGAGGAGGAGGGGGAGGGGCAGGGACTACCGAGGAAGGAGTGACCAGGAACAGGGGGGGAGTAACCGGGGGACCGCGGTGGGGGAAGCAACAGTAGTAGGAGACGGACTCGTCAAAGGTGACGTCGCGAGAGTGAAAGAAGCGGTGAGACGGCGGGTGGTAGAAGTGCCAGTCGGACGCGTCAAAAGGGGAAAACCGAGGAAGACGCAGGGAAGGGTGCGGGCAGTGAGCTAGTCCGTGCCGGAAGCACGAACGTGAGCAAGGCAGCCCCAGACGTGGAACGCAGACTCGTCACCAGGAGACCCAATCCAAAGACGGATCGGCAAAACCTGCGGCTGCTGGGGGTGCGGCCACAAGTTAAGCTGGTGAGAAGCGTAGCGCACAGCGAACGGCCACAGAAAATGGGGTGCACCGGCATGGATTATGGAGGTGCGAGCCACCTCCATGACCAAACCAATGCGTCGCTCAGCGACCCCATTCTGCTGTGGGGAGTCCGGTAGGGTGAACGTCTGGGTGATGCCCTCCGCACGACAAAAGCGACCAAGGACACCTGAGGCAAACTCGCCACCACGGTCGGAGTGAAGGCGCAAGACAGGGAGACCTCGGTGGACACGGGCAGAGATAAGCCAGGGGCTGAGAGCGGCAGGCACGTCGGCCTTCCACTCCAGGGGAAAGACCGAGGTGTAGCGAGTGAAGTCATCGACAAGCAGAAGGAAGTAGCGCTCTCGATACGGCCCATGGACGGGGGCCGGGCCCCAGACGTCCATGTGCAGGGTCTGCAGCGGCGCGGCGGTAGGGGGAAACGAGGAGGAGTGAGGGGCACGGCGAAGCCGACCCTCGATGCAAGGCGTGCAAGGTGGGGCTGGGGAGGAGGGAAAAGCGGGGAGAGAACCAGGGAGACCAAGGACGAGACCGTGCTGGGACATGTGACGCAAACGCGGGAGCGCAGGGTGACCTAGGCGGTGGTGCCAAAGGAGAGTCGGGTGAGTGAGGGACCGACAGGAGCAGGCAGCAGCAACCTGGGTAGACGCAGCCACCTGAGGGGGCGCCCCAGCCGGGGGGGTCACGGTGTCCAGAGTGAACAGGCCGGACACCGGGTCCCGGGGGAACGTGGACAGGGGGGTACCAGTGGCGGCCCCGGTACAGACAGCATACCGCTCGTGACTAGGGAACGTAGTGGTGACGCCAAGGTCCTGGAGGCAGCCGATACCAACTAGGTTCCTGGAGAACGAGGGGATATGCAGACCTGTAAGAGAGCCCGAAGGAACCGCCGGACAGGGAAGGGTGGTGGAACTGCGGGCGACTACCGGACCGCCGGAGGGGTCAGCAAGAGAAACGGCAGCAGGAACAGGAAGCGGCGTCAGTGTAGTAGAGTCGCGGAAGAAGCACTGGGAAGCGCCAGAGTCCAAGGTGAAGGAAAGCGAAGCAGTGGCGTCCGGCGACGGGGCGACGGCGGAAGCACCAAGGCTAAACAAAGCAGGGGATCCTACGCCTGACGCAGTAGGGGAGGCTAAGCTAGGCACACCTATACTAGACGACAGTGAGTAATAAGCGGGAAGCGCACTAGAGTCATCAGCATACATCACATGCAGAGCAGAAACAATGGCATCCATGTCCATGTCAAAAATCTGAATCCTACGACTAAGCAAACTGTGCCAGTTCGGGAGGTCTGGCGATGGGCCGAAGCGCTGACGAAACAGGTCGTCCAGGCGACGAAAACAGCGGGGAGTGGTATGACCGAGCTTACCGCAAACGAAGCCGCGGCGAGGACCGGTCTGGATCTGGTACGGACAACGCACGCCTCTCGAACCACCACTCGGCACACCACCACGCGCCCGACCACCTCCAGTGCCAGGTCACCCGGGCGGGAGGACACTCGCCTTCCTCGTCTGCGGCGGCTGCTGCGACTGCTGCGACTGCTGTGGCTGCTGCGGCTGCTGCTACTGCTGCTGCGACTGTGGAGGCGGCGGCTCAGGTGGACTGGGGAGGGTCCCCTCGTCCGCTCCAGCATCAGACGACCTGACTCCACCACCACCCCCTCCTGCACCCCCGCCTCCTCCGCCGCGCCCAGCCTTCGGGCGGCGGCCCTTCCCCGAACGAAACTGCGCTGCAGCAGCAGTCTCAGCCACAGCGACAGAACCGTCGGAGAAGGTACACTGAGCGGGGGCACAACCCTGAAAGATAGGGTCTGGCACGGTACCGCTCGCCTGGGCGATGGAGCGGTGGCGGGTCTCAATAACAGTCAGGGTGTCTACAATGTCGGTGAGGGTGAGCTCACCGGGGTGAATGGCAAGCTGAGCGACAGCGTCTCGGGAAAGCCAGACAGAGCGCGCAAGGGCAGTGGCTGCAGTAGACTCGCGCTCAGCGGGTGTGGGATCAGCGGGCAGAACAGCAGGGGGGTCTGGGCAGGGGAGCGTACCGTCAAGGTGTGCGGAAAGCGGGTGGCCATCCTGCCGATGGCCAGTGAGGTGGCGACGGAGGTCGGCGAGCCACGCCTCGAACTCCAGAGGCTGGCCTTCAGCGTCCAAGCGAAGCTCCGCCGCCATCAGGAGCAGTGCAGGACTGTAGAGTGCGGTGCAGTGCGGTGCAGCGCGGTACAGTGCGGTGCAGGGCGGTGCAGTGCGATGCAGGGCGGTACCGTGCAGTGCAGTGCGGTGCAGTGCGGTGCAGTGCGGTGCAGGGATGGGGAACCGTACCAGGGAGGATGCAGGGCTGGGGCAGGGACGACGAGCGGGCCGCACACATCTTGGGCCAGAAGCAGCGGGCACCAGGCCGACGGGATGGGCGCGGGGCCAGCTGGGACGGGCGCAGGGGCCGAGCAGACGGGCGCGGAGGTCGCGAGGGCGGGCACGGGGCCGGCTGGGACGGGCGCAAGGCAGGCGCGGCGGGGCCAGGCAGGCGCGGCGGGGCCAGGCAGGCGCGGTGGGGCCATGCAGGCGCGGCGGGGCCAGGCAGATGCGGGGGGCCTTGGCAGGCGCGGCGGGGCCAGGCAGGCGCGGCGGGCCAGGCAGGCGCGACGGGGCTGGGCAGGGCGCGACGGGGCTGGGCAGGGCGCGACGGGGCCAGGCAGGCGCGGCGGGGCCAGGCAGGCGCGGAGGGGCCAGGCAGGCGCGGCGGGGCCAGGCAGGCGCGACTGGGCCAGGCAGGGCGCGATGGGGCTAGGCAGGGCGCGACTGGGCCAGGCGGGCGCGACGGGGCCGGGCAGGGCGCGACAGGGCCGAGCGGGCGCGACGGGGCCAGGCGGGCGCGACGGGGCCGGGCAGGGCGCGACGGGGCCGGGCAGGGCGCGACGGGGCTAGGTAGGGCGCGACGGGGCCAGGCGGGCGCGACGGGTCCGGTCATGGCGCAACGGGGCTTAAAGGCGTGACGGGGTCCAGGAGGGGCGCGACGGGGCCCAGAAGGGGCGCGACGGGGCTAGGGGGGCGCGACGGGGCCCAGGAGGGGCGCGACAGGGCTAGGGGGTCGCGGCGGGGCCAGGGAGGCGCGACGGGGCCTTGGAGGGGCGCGACGGGGCCCAGGAGGGGGGCGACTGGGCTAGGGGGCGCGACGGGGCCCAGGAGGGGCGCGACGGGGCTAGGGGGTCGCGACGAGGCCAGGGGAGGCGCGACGGGGCGCAGGAGGAGCGCGACGGGGCTAGGGGGGCGCGACGGGTCCAGGAGGCGCGGCAGGGCCCAGGAGGGGCGCGACGGGGCTAGGAGGCGCGACGGGGCCCAGTGGGAAGCGGCGGGGCGGAGCTAGGGTACGGGTGGAAGCGGTAGGTGGGGGATCCTAACCTACGCGTGATACCATGTTAGAATGAGAACTGAATGATTGAGTAGAGAGAGAGTACAGGTGAATATACCTACCAAGTGTTGTACCCTCTAAGAGGTGGCCCTATACAGTCGATGCAAACATAGGAGATACACGTGTTTGACACTCCGCAACATCATAGCCAACGTTACTTTCGGACAAGACTCGAGTCTAGAAGAGGGAAGCAATCAGCGAGATACAGTAACTTATATAGATCATAAACACATGTAACAACACATTACAAAATTGGACAACACGATGTGTTCGCATCTCCTTGGCAGTTACCGAAGGCCGCATCCGCAAAAATGGAGAGCAAAAGTCGAAGCCAAAGAAGCAAAGAGGATATAAGTTATTGAACCATCCCATGTTGCACCTGGCAAGGTGTATCGCTTAGCAGCTGCAGAAGAGTATGGACGGGCGACAGGCAGGAGGGTAACATGGTAGATTGGAACAGAGGGAAAAGCAATTGGCGAAAGATGGAATTGACGAGACAGCACTCTGAATGTTAAGACTGCAGATGGTACCGCATGTTAGAGGTGCAAGACAATGGGGCAAGACACTCAGTAGCAATGAAATAAACTGATATGGTAATATAAGCATGAGCCAAGAAGCAATGAACTAAATGTGTTTATCCGTAGCACTGTTGTTGAAACACATATAAATGGAAACCATAACGAGACAGTAACACACCAGGCCATACCTGATTTTGCCATCAAGTTGCTGTTGCTCTCGCTGCCACTATTGCCGCTGCTACTACTGCCACCACTGCCATTGCTGCTGCTGCCACCACCACTGGGCAGACTCAATTCAGGAGGAGCAGCCGGTGGAGAGAGCGAGAGAGCTGCAGTGGCCAGGGGGTAAAACAGAAACAAGTAGAGAAAGCTGTTATGAAACATGACGACAGACAGGGCTTGATAGAGGAAGGGGAAGAGGTACAAGGTGCAATGAGCAGCAGGAGAGGGAGGAATAACGCTGACTCTAGAGGCTCTTCTGATTTATGATGACGTTGGTGACGATTCAAGGTGTGAGGGAAGAGCTCTTGCTGAGGTATGCTGAGACTCTCTGTATGCTGGCGATGCTGGTGTTAGTTGGTGCGTAACCGATGGTCAACCAAGGATTAACCGATGGTCAACCTATGGTCAACTGATGGTCAACCTATGGTCAACTGATGGTCAACCTATGGTCAACCGATGGTCAACCTATGGTCGACTGATGGTCAACTGATTGTGGTGCTAGCAGTGCTAGCAGTGCGAGCAAGGGCAGCAGGGGTAGCGGGGCATTACCGGGGGGTTGCGGGGATGGCGGAGGTGCAGAGAAAGGTGCAGGAGAAGAGGGAGGTGAAGGAGGGGGCATGTTGGAAAGTGTGGGGGGAGTTTGTTGAGTGGGGGGGGATGCAGCAGCTTGGGTGGGGGGGGAGGCAGGAGGTTGTAAGGGGGGGGAGGCAGGAGGTTGCGTGGGGGGAGATGCAGGAGGGGGCGCAGGGGGTTGGGCAGGGGTTGGCCTAGGAGGTTGGGACGCGGGGGATTGCGTGGGGTTTGGCACAGGAGGCTGGGCGGCGGGAGACGCAGGAGGTTGGGCGGGGGGGGACGCAGGAGGGGGCGCAGGAGGTTGGGTGGGGGAGGACGCAGGAGGTTGGACGAGGGGTGAAGGAGCAGGCGCAGTGGAGGGTGGAGCAGCAGGAGGGGGTTTGGGGGGCAACGTGGTGTTGAGATAGTCCCAAGTGGAGCCTGCAGGGAGGCATGGACGAGCGGTACGTGAGAAGAGGGATGGTGGGGGGGAAGAATTGGGAGAAAAGGGCAGGAAGATACTATCAGAACAGTAGACGAAGAAGGAAGGACAACAAACGGTGGTATGTTCGTGAGTGCGACGTTGAGTGCACGGATACTTGCAGCCATGTTCAGCTATGTACATACACAAGCACACGAGACCAGCAGCCCACAGCAGCACCCAGCAGCGCACAGCAGCACCCAGCAGCGCACAGCAGCACCCAGCAGCGCACAGCAGCACCCAGCAGCGCACAGCAGCACCCAGCAGCGCACAGCAGCACCCTGCAGCGCACAGCAGCACCCAGCAGCGCACAGCAGCACCCTGCAGCGCACAGCAGCACCCAGCAGCACACAGCAGCACCCAGCAGCGCACAGCAGCACCCAGCAGCGCACAGCAGCACCCAGCAGCGCACAGCAGCAGGCGGCAGCGCAGCGCAGCACATGTGTGGGCGCACAGTTGATGGATCTGAAGTGCAGCTTCTGGGACGCGACGTCGAACCACAGATAGTGGTCCGCCAGCCATTGCGCTGCGGGCGCAGAGGGCCGAGGGGGGAGGGAGGGAGGGAGGGAGGGAGGGAGGGAGGGAGGGAGGGAGGGAGGGAGAGGGTGTTGCAAGGAAGCGAGAGGGGAGGAAAGAAGAGGAGTTTTCTTAACACTGGAGCGAGGACTTCCCTGCAATCGGAGGAAAGGAGAGAGGAGTTCTTGGGATGCATTGCAGTGCTTGTGCGTGTTTAGGGAAATGGAGAAAAGAAGGCCTTCGAGGCGTGTGTGTCAAGGAGAAATAGTCTTGCTTCCTGCTCCTTTTGTTGAGCTTAAAAGTGCGTCATGAAAGTGTGTGTTTCCACAACCACTCCTACTCCCACCTCACTGCCCCCTTATATCGGTTCCACACCTGCACCAGCAAGCATCCCCCATTGCTGCCCTGCCTTCAGCACTCTTTGCCTCCACTTACTACTCGCCTCTCCCACACTACGTTTGCACCAGATCATCTGGCCACTTTGCCAATATTACTCCCGCCTCCCAACCCCGACCCCGCCTCTCTGCCGCCTCCCCTTTCCCCTTGACTCCCTACCCCCCCTCCTCCCCCAATTAACTCACTGCCCAAGTACGCGTTGTGCACGGAGTCATCTGGCAGCGGCACGGCTGCCAGGCACAGCAGCACGTTGGGTGCTGTGACTCCCTGGGGGGATGCCATGGGGGGAGGGCGAGGGACGAGGAGAGGAGGGAGAGGGGAGGAGGGTAGAGGAGGGGAGAGGGGAGGAGGGGAGAGGACAGGAGTGGATAGGAAAGGAGGAGAGAGGAGTGGAATGAAGAGGGCAAGGAACAGGAGCAGGAGAAAGTTTTGATAGAGTGCACAGTGAGAAAAGGCAGGTGGAAGGTAGGAGGTTTAAATGCCACTCATAAGTACTTGTGAAAGTGCCTACCCCAACATGGAAATAGATATTTCACAGAGTCCACATGTCTTGCAAACATTGCGCTAGAGTAGAAAGGAATTTCGTTAAGAGACGTCTCAAAAGGAAATTACTAGCGCAATGCACTCGCTTGAGTAGGGGGTCATAACAAGCCTCACAAGCAAGGAGTGGAATCACGGAGCATGAGGGGAGGGAGCAAGAAGAGAGGAGGGAGCAAGAAAAAGAAAGGAGGGAGCAAGAAGCGAGGAGGGAGCAAGAAGCGAGGAGGGAGCAAGAAGCGAGGAGGGAGCAAGAAGCGAGGAGGGAGCAAGAAGCGAGGAGGGAGCAAGAAGAAGAAAGGAGGGAGCAAGAAGAGAGGAGGGAGCAAGAAGAAGAAAGGAGGGAGCAAGAAGAGAGGAGGGAGCAAGAAGAAGAAAGGAGGGAGCAAGAAGAGAGGAGGGAGCAAGAAGCGAGGCGGGAGCAAGAAGCGAGGCGGGAGCAAGAAGCGAGGAGGGAGCGAGAAGCGAGGCGAGGAGGGAGCGAGGGCGCACGTTGAGCATGAGGTAGGTGGAGGGATGCACGAGGTAGCTGGCGTCGGGAAAATCAAACGCCACCGGGGGGAAGGTCTCATTCGTGGCCTTGCTGGTGTGGCGGGGGGGGAGGAGGAGGGGTAGGGGGTGCAGACAGGCGCTTATACAAAGGGACGAGAGCTGGAGGTACAGGGAGGAGACTGAAGGAAAGGAGAGGGGAAATGGAACCGTCAGGAGATTGGGAGGTAAGGGAGGGGAGGACGATGGTGTATGGAGGAGACCGGGTAAACAAGGGGGACAGGGCTTAAGTTTGAGGGTTTAGGTTTGGGAACAGGCAGAACGAGAAGAGGGCATGAGATTGATTGGGACAGACAGTAGGAGGTAGTGAGTGCTAGGGAGAGACTACCTGACTGACAGGAAAATGGAAAGTGCTGGATAGCAATAGAGACAGCCCTTGATGGCAACAGAGGAAGCACCTGATGGGAACAGAGCACCTGATGGCAACAGAGCACCTGATGGCAACAGAGCACCTGATGGGAACAGAGCACCTGATGGCAACAGAGCACCTGATGGCAACAGAGCACCTGATGGAAACAGAGCACCTGATGGGAACAGAGCACCTGATGGGAACAGAGCACCTGACGGGAACAGAGCACCTGATGGGAACAGAGCACCTGATGGGAACTGAGCACCTGATGGGAACAGAGCACCTGATGGCAACAGAGCACCTGATGGCAACAGAGCACCTGATGGCAACAGAGCACCTGATGGGAACAGAGCACCTGATGGCAACAGATCACCTGATGGAAACAGAGCACCTGATGGGAACAGAGCACCTGATGGGAACAGAGCACCTGATGGGAACAGAGCACCTGATGGGAACAGAGCACCTGATGGGAACTGAGCACCTGATGGGAACAGAGCACCTGATGGGAACAGAGCACCTGATGGGAACAGAGCACCTGATGGCAACAGAGCACCTGATGGGAAGAGTGGCGCAAGCGAAGCCGTCCACGTCTTGACGAACGAGAGACGGGTCTGAGAACACCTGAACGGCCACACGCAGGGGGGATGCGCTTTGATACATCACGAAACAAGGGGGATGCAGGGGAGGAGGAGGGTGGCACCAGCACCAAACGCGGGGCTACAAGGGTGGGCAGGAAGCACTTATGCGTGTCCATTACGGGTGTGCATCTCATGATTAATCCGCCTGTGGCGAGCCGGCCATGGCTCGGCCCTTGCCCATTCCTCCTTACAAGCGTCTTCGTTTGTAGCAGAATGGGCTGCTGCGTCGTTTTAGAAATGCTCAAGCAACAGGACTGATGTGGCGGCAGATCTCAAAGAGCATCATGCGAAGTCAAGACCTTCTTCATCGGTCGATGAGAGGGCAGTGCCCCCTGGGCAACAAGTCAAGACAGAGCAGCGCCCACCTGCTTGGTTCAGGTTTGAGACGTCCCAAAACTTGACAAGAGAGAGAGAGGGGGTAGCAGCGCCCACGTGGGCGACAAGACAAGGAAGGGCAGCGGCCACCCACCTGGTCAACGAGTTGCAGCAGCAGGGGGGCCCGCAGGGCGAGGTAGGGGAAGCTGGTGTCCACCACAATGCCCCCGTGCGCATCCGCACTCGTGCTGCCCAAACCGTCACTGGCGGGGACGGGCGAGGAGCCCACACGCATTTGAGTCACGTTCAGGTAGTAGCGAGAGCTGGGGGGGAGGAGGGGGAGGGGGAGGGAGAAGGGGAGGGGGAAGGGTGAGAAGGGAAGAGAGCACCTGAGCCCTTGCCTCCCTTAGCTAGCTACTTAAGCCCTTGCCTCTCTCCCCTCCCTGTTTAGTTTCCAGTTCATTATTCACTTCCGCTTTGGTGGCGGTGTGGCTGCAATGGGCGCCTTCTCGACAGACACATGGCGTGCATGATGGCGGCGCACCAGATTCTACATCTGGGTGAACACCACTTGGGTGCCATAGGTTGCTGCCACGTAGAGACCTATGGCACCCAAGTGGTGTTCACTCGATCTCTACTCATTGATGGCGGCGCACCAGTTTCTAGATCTGGCGGCCGGCCTTAGCCCTACGAGCCATCATTACACTCGTCGTGGGGACCGCCCGCCTACAGTACGCTCAGATCGTCCAGGAGGAGCGCGACGACTCGGTCAACCTCTCGGAGTGCTGACACGCAGCCGTCGAGCACTCCTTATGCTCGGCCCGCCTGAATCTTCTTTCCCAGATCCGCCACCACCACGGCAGTTCCAAGTGGCAGCGCTCTTCCCGGAGCGTGCCCGGGCCATGACGCGACCATCGCCGCCCTCAACAAAGACTCCAAGACCCCCACAACTGCGCCGATACAGGCGACCACACGACACTCGTAGATCCGCCGTGCCATCCTTCCCCACCATCCAGTTCAAAGGGCGAGCACGCAGCGGCGGCGGCGGCGGCGGCGAGGCGGTGGTCAGTGTCGGACCCACGACGAGGTTGCATGCGTTCTGTCGCTCCTTGGGCGGGGGGCCCCGGGGACCGGCTCCTAGCCATTCCCTTCTCCACCGACCTCACCATGTCCAGACCAAGGGTTAGATTGCATGCAACAGTCCTCACCTTCCGGCTGGGACTACAACACTCCCTGTCGGACAACTGCAACTGTCCACGTAAAGCTGAGCTCAAAGACAAGTGCTTGCCGAATCACCTCCTGAGATGCTCCCTCGGAGGCGGACCTGAATGGACCCACGGCGCCTTAGTCAGCCTAGGGATGCGGCTGCCAAATGACGCCAGCTACATGGTCCAGAAGGAGTCCAACCTATACTTTCCCTAGATTTCTTAGTACTGTGCGGACATCACCCTCCGAGAACCGGACTCAGGCGCGGTATGGGTAAGCGACGTGACAGTCACGGTATGTGACAGTCCGTTGGAGAAAGAATGCGGCTGCTGCATGCCGATTGTACTCACCTTTCTGGCTTTGATTGTACCTCGGGTCACATTAATACACGGACCACTTGAGAGAGTGCATTGCTCACCTGAGACTCACCCATGGCTCACTTATGGCTCACCCATGGCTCATTAATGGCTCACCGTGGCTCACCCATGGCTCACCTGTTAGGCGCGAGCATGAAGGAGGTGGTTTTGAGCTTGCCCGGGTGGGGAGGGTCCCCCAGCACCAGCGCCCCCTGGGCCGTACCGCTGTCAAAGCACAGCGAGAAGGACAGAGGCAAAGGGGCCAAAGGTGCTGCTGCTGCCGCTGGTGCTGCTGCTGCTGGCTCTGCTGCAACTGGTGCTCCTGCTGTTGTGGAAAGCAGTGTGGCTGCTGCAGTTGCTCCAGGCACAGGGGTTGGAGCGCTGATCTCGGTGGTGGGGGAGGCGAGCTGTGCGGGGATGGAGAAGGGGCGGGCGCCCAGAGCCAACACACCATCCATGCCATTGTCCGCTGATGTGTCGATGCTGCTGCTGCACCTGTCGAGGGGAGGGCGGGGAGGGGAGGTGGGGAAGGGGAGGTGGGGAAGGGGACGGGAAAGGAGAAGGAGAGGAGGGTATTTTGAAGGCCAGAGGAGCAGAGGGGGCGGCGGCGGCAAGGGATGGCCATAAGCACGTGCTATACGCCTTCTTTCCTCATGCGTTACAACTACCACACGCATGAGTCAGCAGCACGACAACAAGTAATCACTGTCGCATGCCATCCAACCACCCAACCATCCAACCATCCAACCATCCAACCATCCAACCATCCAACCATCCAACCATCCAACCATCCAACCATCCAACCATCCAACCATCCAGCCATCCAACCATCCAACCATCCCTCCCTCCCTCCCTCCCTCCCTCCCTCCCTCCCTCCCTCCCTCCCTCCCTCCCTCCCTCCCTCCATCGATCCATCCCTCCATCGATCCATCCCTCCATCGATCCATCCCTCCATCGATCCATCGATCCATCGATCCATCCCTCCATCGATCCATCGATCCATCGATCCATCGATCCATCGATCGATCCATCCATCGATCCATCGAACCATCGATCCATCCATCCATCAATCCATCGATCCATCGATCCATCCATCCATCCATCCATCCCTCCTTCCATCCGTCCTTCCATCCGTCCTTCCATCCGTCCTTCCATCCGTCCTTCCATCCGTCCTTCCATCCGTCCTTCCATCCGTCCTTCCATCCGTCCTTCCATCCGTCCTTCCATCCGTCCTTCCATCCGTCCGTCCATCCGTCCGTCTGTCCGTCCGTCCGTCCGTCCGTCCGTCCATCCATCCATCGATCCATCCATCACACCTGCACATTGCTGCTCTAATCCCCACCCACCCACCCACCCACCCACCCATCCATCCCAAGTGGGCATGCCACCCTCACGCATGCTCAGTAGCACGTTAGCCCAGCCCAGCCCAACCCAGCTCACCCAAAGATGACTCTTGCAATTTTCGAGGCGCCTCAAAAATCAAATCAGCTCGCACACACATGCTTCCTCAAGTTAGCCCAGACGAGATGTATTTTTTAAGGCGCTTATAAAGGACTCAAAAGTCGTGTCAGAGCACGCGTGCTTAGCAAGCCCAGCCCAGCCCGGAGCAGCCGAGGCGAGCCCATCTCACCCAAAGGTAACTCTTGCCCGGCGCAGCAAGGAGTCGGTGGAGAGCAGCGAGATCAGGTCAGAGATGACAGCACCCGAGCTGCCACTGGCGGCCCCGCCGCTGCTGGCGTTGAACGCGCATCCCCCACCTGCTGCTGCTGCTATAGCTGGTGGTGATGATGGAAATGGTGTGGCCGCAACAGTGCTGCTGCTGCTGCTGTTGTTGCTGGCGGAGGAGGGTGGTTGAGCAGCAGCATTGCAGGAGAACATGGTGGCTTGGGGACAGGAGGAGGAGTTGCAGGCCACAGGGCGGTACGCCGCAGAGGATGACGACTCATAGACGGCCCGATGCTGAGAGCAAAGGCAGGAGCGGAAAGACGAGGAGAGGGGGTGTGGTGGATGGGGATCAGAATGAGCAGAGCAGAGGGCCAAGGCCGGGAAACAATTGCAGGGAACGGGGGGCTCGAATTGGCTGCATGGGAAGGAGCAGCAGCAAACGAAACAACAGTGGCAGGTCGGAGAGAGGGGGGAGAGAGGGGGAGAAAGAGGGAGAAAGGGGGAGAGGGAGGCGGGGGGTTGCGGTGTTGAATTGAAGGGAGGGGAGAGGGGGAGGGGGAGAGGGAGAGAGAGGGAGAGGGGGAGAGGGGGAGAGGGGGAGAGGGGGAGAGGGGGAGAGGGGGAGAGGGGGAGAGGGGGAGAGGGGGAGAGGGGGAGAGGGGGAGAGGGGGAGAGGGGGAGATGGGGAGAGGGAGGGAATGGAGGGAGCAAAGGAGCACCTGCATGATGCCGGAGGGGGCAGGGCAGGAGGGGGCGCAGTCGCAGACAAGCCAGGAGAGGCTGGAGAGGGTGTCGACCAGCGTGACAAAGCGGCGAGGGGGCGACCCCATGGACACGGTCACGTACAGAGGGCTGCAGGACGGGGAGGGAGGATGGGATGGGGGAGGGGAAGGGGGAGGGGGAGGGGGGGAAGAGCCTTCAAGAAATGGGTGGAGCAGTGGTGGGAGGAGGGAGGATGGAGTGGTGGAAGTGAGAGAGGGATGGGTGGGAGGAGAGGCAAGGGGACTGGACAGATGGTGCTGTTGTGGATGACGTGCAGTGCAGGCAAGGGGGCGTGTGAAGGGAATCAGCAGTCGAGACAGTCGAGACAGTCTAGGCAATCTGCGCAGTCCAGATGGTCGAGGCAGTCCTGAGGGGACAGATACAAGTGTGCATTTTGCAATGCTGGCAGGTGATGATGCCGGGATGGGTGGGAGGGGTTGGCATCGTGGATAGATGGATACGAGTTGACAGTGCAAGTGGGATGCAGCAGATGGCCGTGCTGCAGGTGGGCGTGCTGCTGGGGCGCACTGCGTTGACAAAATAAGCGCAGAGAGGGCGGAAGGAGCAGCCTGGGCTGACCCGTATTGGAAGGGCGAGAAGACGCGGAACACAGCATTGTTGGTTGGCGGGGCGCTGGAGCCCTGCAGGGGGAAGAGAGCGGGCGAGAGGGAGAGGTGGGGGAGGGAGTGAGGACAAGACAGCAGCAAGCAGGTGCTCCTATGCACACCCATGGCACCACAGCCCCATCCTCCCTGTCCATTCCCCCCTTCCCATTTCCCCTTCCGCCCTTTCCCCTCCTCTTCCCCTCCCCCTCTCCCTCGGGCCAGCACTCACGAGCGAGGTGGGCAGGGCGGGATTCAGAGCGCCTGCAGCGCTGCCATGCGCTGCTGCACGCCCACTGGCAACACCCGCACTGCCAGCGATGCTGCCCGCACTCCCAGCAGCGGGGGGCGGAAGTTCTTGGTCGGAGCTCAGCAGGACTCTAGCACAGTCACGCACTGGCACGTCCACGTCACCATCCACGTCCATGGCCCCTCCTGCACCCCAGCGCTCGTCTCTCCCTTGCCTTCCCGCCTCCCTCCCCACCCTCTCCTCCCCCGCACCAGCACCATCCGTGGCACCTCCCCCACTTCCCCCACCTGTCCCCCGCACGCGCTTGCCCTCACGCACGCCCGTGTCATCTCCCTCCCTCGCGCCAGCACCAGTAGATGCCCCACCCATCCCAGAACCCCCCCCTACTGACGCCCCTCCCCTTTGTTCAGCGCTCCTCGCACTCTGCTGGCCGTTCACCTGCCCCTCCAGCTCGTTCATTTGAAAGTCCTGCCCGTTCACCTGCCCACTCGCCCAATCATACATCGCCCTTTCCGCCCCAGACCAAGACCACGGCCACGACAAGAAACGCCCCCCCCATCCGCTCCCCTGCCCTCCCCACCTCGCCTGTCGCGCTCCCCCTGCATCCCCCCCCAATCTCCCCCGCCGTCTGCCCCATCGTCCCCTTCCCCCTGCGATCTGCCTGCACTCTCCCGCCCTCCCCTTCCGCCTACACCACTCCCCTCTCCTCCCCGCGCCTCCTCTCTTCCCCGCGCCTCCTCTCCTCCCCTTGCACCTGCTCCTCTCACTTCCGCTCCTTCTTCTCCTCCTCCGCCTTTCCACCCGCCCTTTCCCCCGTCCTTTTCCCCTTCCGCGTATCCCCGTGCGCCGGACAATGCGGGGATGTCTGCGGAGCCTAGGGGAGGGTAGCACGAGGCGAGAAGCAGCATGAGGTAGCAGGCCGCGGGAACTAGGTACACGTCGCGCGCGGGCCGCGATTGGCGCTGGCGCGCGTGCCGTACGACGCGGAAGCGGGCGCGCAGCCGTGACGCATCACGGTGATTCCCGTGCGACGCACGCGCCGCCATGGCCAGCAGCATCTGCGGCGGAAAACCCGGAACTGTGGACTAGGAACGATGCAGTACTCCTAGTAGTAGCAGGGTAGGGGGTGGACTAAATAGCGGTTCGCTGTATCCACAGGCATGCCAGCGGGATAATAAGGAAGTTCTAAAGGGCGATTCTTAGAATTCTAGTCTCAGTGCGGGTAGGGATGAGGGTGGCACGGCAATGTGCAGCAACGCTGCTCTTTGAGACCGTAGTCTGTAACGCGTACAACAACGAGCTCGGGCCGACAGCCTGAGCTACACCTTTCGAGAGCCCAACGGTGACAGGTGTACCTGTCATGGACGGGGAGCCGATGACGAGGTAAGACCGCAAAGTTGCTCGTGACCGAACGGCCAGAAATACTATATATTGTTTACATGCATAGAACTCTCTCCAATAAATAGCATCGTATAATGGACCTCTTTAGCACAACGGGAAATTGTTCAGCCCACTTGGCTGACGGCGCGGCCGAGATACGAGATCAATATCGCGCTGCAATAATAAATGCTTGACGGATCGGGTCCTAGGCTAGGCGGCGCCTAGGTGCAAACAAGCACGGCTCGGTGTGGTCTGCCAGCGAGGGAGAGTGAATCAACACATTTGCTGCGTTCTGCAGGCACTTGGGCTGTGTTCTACAGGCATTTGACGTCGACGTCGATGTCGACATTGAGGAAGCTCCTCAAGCGACTTCTAGAGCACTGGTTACCACTCAAACCAGGTGTGTTATGAATGGGACTGCCTGTACGGAATTTCCATTCCTTACTGAGTCGGCCGCTACCAGGTACACCCGACTCGTCACGTTCGGTCTACATTTTCGAACCAAACCTTTCTCGAGTCGCGTCCGACAGTGTCGCCACATTGCCGAACCTAACCACTTCCCGAGGTTATCGCCCTATAACGTCTACTCCTATATAACCTCGTGCTTTCATTGCAATAGCGACCTTGTATTCTCACGTTATAGTGCATCGACATCTTCTAAATCATAACAGCTGGTATCAGAGCCCGAGCTTTCCAGGAACCTTCCGTTTTCTCGTTTAATTAGTTAAGGGTGGTCAGAGGGGATTAACACGGCTGCACAGCAGTTGTCTTCGATCGTAAATATTTTTACGTCAACAACTACAGCGTGTGCGCTAGTTTCTGCCCCGTCCTGACCGCCATGGCCCCGGTAGACTCGACGGTTGAGGAACAGACGACCTCGACTGCTGCGAACTCTGCCCGGGAAACTGTGGACCTGCAAGCTTTACTAGAGCAGTTGAATAATTTTACAAGCGTCGTCAACAACCTCCGTGACGAGAACCAACGACTTCGCCAGGCGCAGGAAAAGCGTTCAGAGGAGCCAAGCAACGATGCACGAAGAGAGGCGGGTGAGCAGCAACCGACGCCAGTGGAGCTGGCACGACTAGCGGCAACAGCCCCGCGCTCGACAAGTGGCGGCGTGAGATATCAGCAACCCGCTCCTTTCGACCCAGCTAGTAAAGGCGTGACGGTGCGGCAGTGGATATTCGCCATGAATATCTACATTAACGCGGCGGGCATCCGAGACGATCAGAAGCGGATCAGCCATGCGTTGACGCTGCTGCAAGGGGCCGCCCTACAGTGGTGGAAGGTCATCGTCGACTCCGCGGCAACTCGCACAGAAGGACAGCATGAGTGGTCCGAAGAATTCGGCGACGAAGACGAGGCAGACTTACTGTTTGGTGCAACTCACATTCGCACGTGGGCAACGAGGTGCGCAGAGCTTCGCAAGCGGTTTGAGCACGCCCCTGACTCAGACAAAGCGCGCGAGACTCTACGCATGTGGAAGCAGCTGGGATCTGTGTCTGACTAGACCACGTAATTCCTGACGTTGGTGGATCGATGTGGCTACATGCACGAGTTGGAGAAGGTCGACAGGTACATGGGCGGGCTGAAACCTGAAATACCGTACCAAATAAAATTACAACGACCTGCGAAGCGGTTACAAGACTTCATCCAGCTCGCCGAAGCCGCTGATTCGCTCACGAAGCCGAGGACGAACTTCTACGATGGAGGTCGCCCTCGAGAACAGTACCAGCGCGCCACGATAAAAGGGATGGACGCAGTGGACATTTACGCAGTTGCTCCGCGAAATACGGGGCTATGCTACCACTGTGGCCGACCGGGTCACATCAAACGCAACTGCCAAGAATTCATAGCCACCCAGAATTCTATGAGGAAGAAGCCGGAGGAGCGACTGGGAAATGGATCGCGTCAGTAAGTACCGGGCCCCTTACTGACGGGCAGGCTTCTTCGCCCGAGCCACACAGTTCCCACCGGATCATGATCCCGATTGCTGCAATCGACCAGACCCGGACGAATAAGGAGGACGAAACTGCTGATCACCCTGTGTTGGTGGAGGGTAAAGTCAATGGGGTGTTGCTGAAAATCTTCGTGGATGGAGGCGCGAGTCACAGTCTCATACTGCTGGACAGAGCAAAAAAAAAGGGTATCCCCATAAAAAAATGTCTACCCGAGATTGACGCACGACTGGTGGATGGAACACCGCTCGCCATATGAGAGCGGGTCGAGCACGTCAGTTTCCATTGTGGCGAGCACGTAAAATTTCGGATGAGGCTGCTGGCGACTACACTCGACGGGAGCGACGTGCTGCTGGGACGGGACTGGCTGCGACAGTACAACCCGAGGATCGACTGGACGACGGGCAGCTGCAGCATCAAGCTTGATGGGATCTATCACGAGCTACCGAAATGGACGGGACCCTGAATGCGAAGCACCCAAGTCCACGCCGTCACTTTCAAGCGTGCGATAAAAGCGGGAGCTGCAGCGTATGCCGTTGATCTTCGCGAGGTGACGTCGCCGACCACTGCCGAAGATATCGCGAAGCTGTGCGAAGCCGTTCCTCCGGATTTAGCGGACTTGATTCGAAAATACCCCGAGATTTTCCCGAATGACCTACATGCCGGACTCCCGCCAAGCCGACCTGAAGAGCACCGCATCGAACTGGAACCAGGCGCACAACCGACAGTACAGCGACAATTTCGGCTCAGCCAACTGGAACTCGAAGAATTGCAGCAACAGCTGGAATACATTGTGACGAAGGGTTTTATACGGCCCAGCACGTCCCCATACGCCGCCCCGATTCTGTTCACACCGAAAAAAGATGGAGGATTCCGCATGTGCATCGACTACCGCGCGCTCAACCGCATCACCATCAAGTCCCGTTACCCGATCCCGCGAGCCGACGATTTACTCGACCAACTTCGCGGAGCCAAGTTCTTCTCGAAAATCGATCTGCGAGGGGGTTACCATCAAATTCGCGTCGCCGCCGAAGAGTGCCACAAAACCGCATTCCGAACCCGCTACGGCAGTTACAAATACCTGGTGATTCCATTCGGCCTCACGAACGCGCCTTCAACCTTTCAGATGACCATGAACGGCGTTTTCCGGGAACTCCTGGATAAATGCGTGATTATCTACCTCGAGGACATCCTAATCTACAGCCGCAGCAAGGAGCAGCACTTAAAGGATCTTGATGCAGTCTTCACGCTGCTGCACAAGAATCGCCTCATCACGAAAGGGTCTAAGTGCGACTTTCTTAAGCAGGAGTTGGAGTTTTTGGGCCATGTCGTATCTATCGAAGGCGTGAAAATCGACCTTAAAAATATCACGACCATACAGGGTGGAAGCCGCCGACCAACATCAAGGAACTGCAGAGTTTTCTCGGCTTCGTCAACTACGTCCGCCGATTTATCCCAAATATGGCTGGGTTATCTACCCCGCTAACCGACCGACTGAAAGATCACGATTGTTTTTGGTGGGGAGAGAAGCACAAGCTGCATTCGACCAACTCAAAATCGCCCTCATTACGCCGCCCGTTCTTCGCATCTCCGATCCTAACCGTCCATACGAAGTCGTCACCGACGCAAGCGACATCGCCATCGGCACAGTTCTTCTATAAGATTTTAGCGACGGGTTACAGCCAATCGCCTACGAATCACGGAAGCTGCAGGGCGCGGAAAAAAACTATACTGTCCACGACAAGGAAATGCTGGCGATCGTCCACGCGTTCAAAACCTGGCGGTGCTACCTGACAGGCGCTGACGTCACGGTGCGGAGTGACCACAAATCCTTACAGTACCTGCGCGCCCAACCAAATCTCAACCCGCGACAGATCCGATGGCTCGATTTCCTCGAGTCAAATTTCCATTACACCATCACCTACAAACGGGGTGCCAATAATATTGCCGATGCCCTTACTCGTCCTACTGCCCATACCGCCGCTATACTAGTCGCCCAAACCAACCCATTACTTACCGGATTATTCAACCACGGCTACAAGACCGATCCCTTCTTCCGCTCTGCTATCCATCAACAGCATACCACCGCGAGTGGACCGTATTTTCATAAGCGCGGTACTTCTCGCATCTGGGTACCCGGCTACGATTTACTTCGTACCCTTCTAATTCAGGAATCCCACGACAACCCTACCACATGACATTTCGGCGTCGATAAAACCACGAAGATGCTGCAGCGGAATTAATACTGGCCAAACATGGCCGATGACGTGCGCAAGTACGTGTCCTCCTGCACTGCCTACCAGATTATGAAATCGTCGCATCAGCGAGCAGCCGCACTACTACAGCCGTTGGATCCGCCCGAGCAACCCTAGCAACAAGTCACGATGGACTACGTGACAGGACTGCCAGACGGTCCCAGCGGAAACGACGCCATCCTCGTGGTCGTCGACCGACTCACGAAAATGGCGCACTTCATCGCCTGCCAGCAGACAATCACAGCCAAACATACCGCGCAGCTGTTCCTCACGAACGTCATCCGACTACACGGACTGCCCTCCGCCGTCATTTCAGACCGAGACCCGAAATTCACGTCGAATTTTTGGCGCCACCTATGGGAGCAGTTCGGCACCAAACTACAGTTTTCCTCTGCCTACCAGCCACAGACCGACGGGCAGACCGAACGAGTCAACCAAACTATGGAACAGCTCATTCGGACTACCTAAACTGACCCACAGACATGGGAGAAATCCCTTCCGCTGCTAGAATTCGCGTATAATAACGCAACCTCCGCCACCACCCATCAGTCCCCATTTTCCCTCAACTACGGACAGGACCCAGTGGTACCCTCGACCCCGAACATCGAGTCACCTGTGCCCCCATCCCAAAAATTTGCTGAAGATATCCTCGCCGCTCGGGAAAAAGCAGCTGAAGTAATTCGGAAAGCCAACCTGGTCGCAAGCCGACAAGCCGATCGTCATCGCCGTGACGTCGCTTACAACGTGGGCGATCTCGTCCTTCTCGACACTCGCAATTTGCGATTGCCGATACCGAGCAAGCTCCGGCCCAGATTCTTCGGACCTTTTCAAGTGACGAACCTGGTGACACCTGTCACTGTTCACCTTCGGCTCCCGGCTGATTGGCGCCACCACCCGGCCTTCCACGTCAGCCTGTTATGACCTTACGTCCCCAGTTCGTCCGACGTGGCACACCACCGCGGAGTCCCGCAGCTGACGCCCCTGCAAGAACCAACAACCGAGCCCTTCAAGATTCTGGGCCATCGCGTCACAACGCAGCTGAACCGACGGATGGTTGATTTCCTCGT